TTATTCTCGCTCCCCTCCGTACAGCGGAGACATAAACATCACTGTGGAGACTGTAAAATTGAAATCAATTGGATATTAAGGTGGCTTGGGAGTTTTCCAAAAAAACGCCCGTTGATTAACTCGACTTGACTGGAGCAGACCAATTGGTCTCTTTTAAGGGGGCAAACATAGTTATAAGCTGGCATTTTATAATAAAAATAAACAACCCAAAGATAGATAACAGTGGCTGAACTACTAGAGGTAGTCGCGTCTACAGCTTTTACTGTCCTGTTTACTGTCAGTCACAATGGTACCACACAGATTCACTTATATTAATCCGTTTTATCGCTGGAATGTTAAAAGGCTTTAAATGGCCTTCAGTGCACCTTTGATATGCGGGCAGCAGCGTCGGCGATGACAATTTTACATGGCGTTCCACAGGCAAGCTTAACTTTAATTAATCGATCACCCAAAAAAAAGTTTTGTTATTGCTTCGTTTCAACAAGGTTTCAAAATGAAACTTATCGGTTTGAAACCGCGCGAATTTGCCAGTTTACCAGCTGATCATTTTCAAATAATCAACTATACAGGGTGATTCAAAATTGGCGTCATTCCTCTGGAGGTGTTGTCTGGTGCTGTTATAGGAGTACAGAAAAAATAGTAAAATAAATTAATTGTTATTAAAAACTGAGAAATTTGGCAGCAATGTTTTTCAAGGTAATCTGCCTAATTAACATTGCGCAAATACCTGTGGCTTCGTAATTATTTCAAACTCCGGTAACCATGGAATTATACAGAGTGACAATAAGATGGACAAGGATAAACGGTAAATTCAACAAGATTTGTTGCCGAAATGTCAACCTGTTCTCATAACCTCGAATATTGGTGTTTAAAAATAAACCATACAACACCAAACATTTGAATGGTTAATTCCAAGCAAGCTGGTGCCTGTGTAATCTCCTTATTATCCACTCTTATCAAGCAGCAGTTGACAAATTATTGACAGGGACTCTCCACCTGTAACTATCTGTTAATGACAAAAAACATCATTGCCGCTGTGCCTTTTCATCAAAAAATTGTAGAAGAGAACTCTTTTGATATCAAATATTTTCGTAATTTGAAGCAAAGATCGTAATTTTTCTTTTTGAATGCTTAAGTATTCCAATAGGCTACCAATTAAACATGGAACCATTTCAAAATAATGCTTAATAACAAAGTTGAAATGCGATCTTCAACTGTTAATATCCTCTAGAAATTTTCTAAAAGAAAAATTTCAATATTTTTGTCGTGCTCCCTAAGGGAGCCTCTATCACCCCTTAAAAGGAATGACGCCAATTTTAAATCACCCTGTAGATATTAAAAGAAAACGGAAATTTGATGCAAATGTTCTTCAGCTGAGAGCTTCCAAAACAATGCAATTTGGATAAGATAATGGCTGTTCAAAGTTGTATTCATTCGTTTTATTTTGCCTGTGTGTTCAGTTTCAATTGCGACTTTTTGGGCGAGATACATTTGCGAAACACCCTGTCTCAAGAGCGGTCAACTCCACCGAAATCTAGTCAATAAACTGTTCATTTTCAAGCTCAATCGAAGGGCCAAAATCGAAATAATTTGACTCCAAACTTAGACCAGATGCACCGGGAAATAAAATTAGGGCCTCAATGCAGGGCAGGGCTAGGGAAATCTGCAAAAGACTAAACAATCAGTCATTCGCAGTGACCCAAACCGAACACTTCCACCTGACCAAATCGATGCTGATCCCGCCCCTGTTTGCCCCCGGACTATCAAGATAGATTTGACCCTGCAGCCCCTGCAACTACGAGCGCTTAATTGATCCCTGATGATCGGGGCGGGTGCGAAACGTCGTCCTTTTCAGCTATTCACCCACGAGTATTTAGTTACAAAGCCTCTCCTGAGTGCCAAGAGTGATCGATAAAACGAAAATAATTTGTCCGCCTCGTCCTGGATCAGCCTATGGAGATTTCGATAGATTGCCTTTCCCACTCGCCGCCTAATTGGCTTATTGAGCGAAAACAGCGTTTTAATTATAAATTCTACGTCGCCCAACTGGACCTGGTAGTCCGATGATCTTTCCGGAACAGTAAAAATCTAATTAACTAAACCGTTTTCGGAAAACCTTCGGCGGAGGAATGTGTGTGTGGAAACTCCATTTCGGCGCATTTGATAAATACCTTGAGAGATTAAGCAGAACTTCAGGTGGAAGGAGCTACCGTAAGTAATTTCATTGTCTGGCCGTTATCGCGTGACAACTGCCTTACGTCGCCAGACAAAACAAATAAAAAAGACGAAATATAACCCCTTTTAGTACCCTGTACATTTAGCCAACATAAATAAGACCCTCAGCAATCTGTAGATAACTAAAAGTAAATACCAGTGGAACAAGCTGTAAATGGCTCATTTTTTTTAATACGGTCATCTGGCTTCGGACGCGCTTAATATAATATAACAATTAGTCACCTTTACTACTCGCCAACAAGAACAGGTGTCTCGACTAACAGGAATTGGGAAAATTCCGAATCAGTTAAAAAGTCGAGTGTCAACATTACCGGTCTTAAAACTCGAAAAAAATTAGAACTAATACATATTTAAGCGCAATTATTAGCCCAACACGCCGAGTAATTACGCCTAACACTCTTGTACCTACTGGATGTTTTCCTATGCTTTCAACACCCAAATTACATGTGTTTCACCGACGAAAATTTGGCAAAACATTAAACGCTAAGCTAATAACAGTTTACAATTGATAGGGCTTCGGATAGCAGGATGTTACAAATTGTGTGGGGACATTTGCCATAATTGCCCAGGTCTCGGTTTCTTTGTCTTTTGGGTGTTTTTTTTTTAATTCAGTTGCCCGTCGGTGAAACGGATATTGGAACAAGTGTTAAGGATAACAATTAAACCACCTTTCTGTGTGTGTCAATATACGAAAATATCTGTGTTATTTTTCTAAGTGGTCATTTTCCTATGAACGACCGGAAGTGGACACTTATCTACCAAACCAATCAAGAAAGAGAAATTAATTTCCTGGTTTTGTTAAAGTGTGGGTATAACAGCCAACCGTAATCGACAACGCATAACAAACGATAGAATTAATTGGTAAAATTCATCAGGAGTCATGGAAAAGGGGGTTGAAGTTAACACCGAATGAAAAGAAAAACGTCCGGTATATGGATTTTCTAGACAACAAGTTTATTTTATCTCATCTGAGTCAAGGCTGGGCCGTTTACCGCAAGCCACTCCTTTTTTCACAAACGACTCAAGCTGGAAATACAGAAGTTTTATCTAAAACTTGTGCGATTTAATTTAACCTGAACAGTTAGTGGCTGCTTATTATACAGGGTGATTCAAACAGAGGCGGATCCAGCTTTAAAGTCAGGGGGGAGTTATGTGGAAAAATACAGTCTTCTGTTGTTTATGAACTTAGAAAAATTATCGTCGTTTTGTGCAAGGGTGGTGCAAGATTATTGCAAAATTTCATGTTTTCCGTGCCGTTTTGCATGTTTCTCGGAAGCAAAATGAGCAAGCACGCTCGTTTTTACATCATTCCAGAGATAACTAAATGGCCTTTATTCGAAGTTTCTCAAGAACCATTCGAGCCACAGAATTCGTTTTGGCATCGTT